AGCAAAATAGCAAGAGCAAAAAAGGAGGGAGTAGTGGCAACAGTGGCAGAGGCAGAATGCTACTTCTGTAGCATTCTGGTTTAACTATTCTTGGCATTTCAGCCTGCCTTTTTTTTTTAAATTTAGTACAGGGTCTCATTATGCAGCTTGGACTCATAGTGATCCTCCTGTTTTCAGCCTCTCCAGCACTGGGATTACAGGCATGCTCCACTATAGCTGGTCTCAGGGACCCGCTCAGCGTACCTGGGGGGCGTGGCTAGCATAGCATGTGGTGCTGGGTATCTAACTTCTCTCCCTGTGCTTGCCTGAGCAAGCGCTTAGTCTGCTGTTACCTTGCCCGCCCCTCAGCCTACTTCTTTACTTCCTTTATGTATCTTTGATAGTTATGTTTTATAGCTAGCTCCCACCCCCACACCCCAGTTTGGGATTGGAACCAGTGTCTTTGCACTGAGCTACATCCCCAGTGCTTTAGCTCTTATTTTTAGACAGAGTCTCACTAAGTCAGTAAGTTGCCTTCCAGAGGCTGGGCTTGAACTTGCTTTCCTGCTTCATCCTCCCAGAGTGTTGGAATTATAGGCTTGCATTACATATATTGCTTGTGTAGTTTTATTTGTTGATTAAAAAAAGAAAAAAAGAAACACCTTTACTCAGTATAAGGGCCAGGGCTGTAGCTCAGTGGTGCAGCGCTTGCCTAGCAAGCATGAGTTCTTGAGTTCAATTCCTGGTACTCTCAAGAAAGAAATATAAACTCAGTATATATTGTACCTTAGAGTCATTAATTGTTTTGTATTATATTGTATTTATCTATTTATTTATTTATTTATGGCTTTTTGAGATAGACAGGGTCTCCCTGTGTAATTCATGTGGCCTTGGACTCCTATATAGCCTCGGTTGTCCTCCAACTTGCAGAGATTCTCTGCCTCAGCCTCCCTAGTGCTGGGATTACAGCTCTGTGTCACCATGTTCTGCTGGTCATCCATTTAAAATGTGTAGTTAAGTGAGTTTCAGTAAATTTGAAGAAGTGGGTGTCTGTCACTACAGTCCAGCTTGAGAGCACTCTTGGCAACTTGGAAATTCCTCTTGTGCCCATTTCCAGCTAGCCCCTCTTTCTGCTCCAAGCTGCAGCCATGGAGGACAGTCAGGCCCAAACTGTGGCAGTGTTGTGAACATGTCCTCCGGTTTTGTGCAGCTGTGTTTCCATCTCCCTTGTATAAATGCTAAGGTGCCAGATTGCTAGGCTGTATATTTTAAACTTTTTTTCTTTCTTTGTCTTTTTGTTGTTACATTGGGTGAGTCTTCACTCTGAACTGCATCCCCA